GGGAATTGTAGATTGTACTTGAAGAGTATTAGGGTATCCATCTGTAAGATGAAGCTTAAAAGAAAGTGGGTCGTCTAGAACAACAAAGGGTTACACTTTATTTCGATAGTCCACTTTAGACATTCTATTAACTATACGTAACTTTGTAACTACATGTCAACTACATGTCAACTAATTCTCATTAATTTGCAACTACATGTCTACTAACTCTCAGAGTAGACTGTTAGGGTAGGTTTAGGGTTAGTAGAATAAGCTGACAAAGAAAGTGTTTAAGCAGACCGTCTACTAATACTCTACTAACTGCTAGTTGACATGTAGTTGCAAAGTTACTTACTGTTAATAGAATGTCTAAAGTGGACTATCGAAATAAAGTGTTACCCAACAAAGACCCTAAACACAAGTCTGCAACTGAATGGCTGAAACAGAGGAAATCCTGTGTTTTGTAACACAAAGTCAAAGTCCTGTAGGCATGAACCGAAGCAAACAGTGAACACCTTAAGTATCTGCAAGTAATCTTGTATCGAGCAGTGGGTAAAAATGCACTTTCAGAAAATACTTTGAATTATCAAACAGATTAAGCAAATGTTTTTTAGTACAAAGACAATAGATTTTGTCTTTCCTCGTATTTCCAGTGTATGTATGTACACTCTGGGGGGAAAAGGCACAGGAAAATGTACTGGTAATTTTCTGACAGGAGATTATCTATTATACAGATATTTCTGATATTCCTGAAACACACGCAATGCAGCGAAACATTCAAAATACAGTAAAACCCCTGTAAAAAAAACAGTATTAATACATTACTTTGTACCCAGGTTTTATGGATTTTTTTTTTTTTGATTGTGTGTATGTGTGTATTATTTTTTGTTTTTATAATGCATTAAATTGATCAAAAGTGACATTAAATACATTTGTTACAACAGACTTATATTTCAAAAAAATTATGTGCTTTTGAACTTTCTATTCGTCAAAGATGCCTGAAAAAAGTATCACAGTATATACGTATATATAAAACATATTAATAAACCATGGAAAATAAGATCCTTTGTTACTCAGTTTACATTATAGGTCAAATTAATGAAGAACTAGAGAAAACGGTGTCAGACATTAAATTATAGACCAACAAATAACCCATCTACTAATGTACAAAGTTTGAATCTCTCTACAATTCTTAATGATCATTAACAAGTTTTATTTGACAAGTTAATAATGCGCTTCTTTCTAATAGAATGAAACTATTTTGTCTCCCAAGGAATCAAGGTTAAGCCACGCTGTCTAAATCAGTGTGAAGTCATGCTCCTGTGAAATGTGTGGCAGGCTTACTTTTCACACTGATCTCGAGACTACGCTCATGCTAAATTTCTGTGAATATTGCCAAAGCAGAGAGAGAAAAACGCAAGCAGGCCTTTGTAACGATGAAATTTTTACTATTACTCATTGGACAATGACTCTCGTTGTCTCAAGTGTACGAGTCAATGTGTCACTGATTGTATCTGTATTGTGAGGAAGGGTGAATTGTGTCACACTCTGAGTCTGCTGGCATGGGATCCGTCACACAGAGCGTCTGTGGGTCAATTCCTGTCATTGAGGGCACACCACACGAGGCAGAAAGAGGTCAGCCAATCAGAAAGAGTGACCTTTTGCCTCCTTCGAGATCACGGTGTCATTTTTTCTAAATCACTTACTCCATTCAGAACTAACGACATTGCCTTTCTCTTGTGGGATAATAGAGGAAAATGACTCAAACTTTAAGCCCCGGTGAGTAAATAGTATGTGGTAAATGGAACCTCTACCACTATGTTATATACAAGTCAGTCCTTTATGTGTATATATATATATATTCATCTCTCTGTCCTCATTTACTCACCCTCATGTCATTCCAAATCCATAAGACTTCCATTCAGTTTTATAACACAAATGAAAATATTTTTTAATATTTGCTGCTCATTTCCCCACCCCCCATCCACTGAAAGTCTACATGATAAACATTTTCATGCTTTAAAAAGTACATAAAGACATTGTTAAAGTAATCTGAGTAGTTTTATCCAAGTCTTTTATAGAGACACTGATTAACAGATTTGCGAGTTTGAGTTTGGGTTGCGATTTTATTGTAGACCTGGCAACCCTAGTGTTTAGAAAACCTGTTTGGAAACAGTCCTTATTTTCACAGGTCCATTTGGTGCTACAGTTTTGTCTACCCATCAAGTTGAGACCACCTAGGATCCAGGGGGATAGCTGTATATAATGCATGATGAATTATGCATGAAAATGTAGGAAAAGGGTGTAGGAAAAACTAGCAGGCTAATCAAAAAAATGTTATGCTACGCATTGATTCTATATTTGAATGAACATTTGTATGAACATCACTGACTCTATAATTTATAATGTCTTCTATAGCATTGACAATTATATGTATAATAATTTAAAAGATTTAAAATGATCATAAATAAGAAAAAGAAAAACAACTGTTCAGATAAGACACAAAGTTATCTTATCTTTGTATCTTACTGTCTCGGTACAGTAAGATACAAAGATACTTTTGTATCTTAGATACTTACGGTCTCGTACTGTATCGCGTACCTTGTCAGTGTCGTGCGCTTTGCTTGGCCATTTGTTGTGATAAACAGGAAAGTGTGTTCAAGCGCCAGCAAAACAGTGTAAAGAAATACTCTTTGTGAGAAGCAGTCAATCAGCAGAAGTTAAAAGCAGCTTGTAAGTGTATTTATTTCTTGTCTCAGTGTTTAGCGCAGTTATCGTTGCTAGGAAACGCTTGTTTTGTTTACTGTGGAGACATGCTGAAATGGCGTTTGGTCTCGTACTGTATCGCGTACCTTGTCAGTGTCGTGCGCTTTGCTTGGCCATTTGGTGTGATAAACAGGAAAGTGTGTCCAGCTGAACTCAATTTGAGTTTTGTTATCTGCTAAATGACTAAATAAATAAATAAATAAATAAATAAAGTGACATTGTATTCTAATCAGGCACTGAATGCCCATATTAGAGGAGTTTAAGTGATGATGATATACAGTGGGTACGGAAAGTATTCAGACCCCCTTAAATTTTTCACTCTTTGTTATATTGCAGCCATTTGCTAAAATCATTTAAGTTAATTTTTTTTCCTCATTAATGTACACACAGCACCCCATATTGACACAAAAACACAGAATTGTTGACATTTTTGCAAATTTATTAAAAAAGAAAAACTGAAAAATGCTCAGTATTTAGTAGAAGCACCCATTTGATCTAATACAGCCATGAGTCTTTTTGGGAAAAATGCAACAAGTTTTTCACACCTGGATTTGGCGATCCTCTGCCATTCCTCCTTGCAGATCCTCTCCAGTTCTGTCAGGTTGGACGGTAAACGTTGGTGGACAGCCATTTTTAGGTCTCTCCAGAGATGCTCAATTGGGTTTAAGTCAGGGATCTGGCTGGGCCGAAAGTAAATACAATACAAATTAATATACGTTCATGTAATAAACATGTATATAATACATTCATGTATATTTCTATAATATATATACATTTTTATGAATTTAATTAATATAAAATGCCATATTTGAAACACTTGAATATGCACTGGTACACTGGAGCCTTATATAATTTTCACTGCCTTATTTTTATTCAAACTTAAAGTGCTCCTTAAGTAAAAAATACTTAAGGAACAAAAAGGCTGCTGTTGCAATCTACACAGCAGTGTTTCCCAACCCCAGTGGAGGCACCCCATCACTAACATCCAAACTATTTCTAATCAAACACACCCGGATAAACTTAGCTTATTAGTAGAAACTCCAAGACCTGAAATGGATGGGTCAGGTAAGGGAGAAATCCAAAATGTACCGGGGTGCCTGCAGGAACAGGGTTGGGAAACACTGCTATACAGAATGTTTTGAACATGATTCTATCTTTTTCAAATTGTTTTTAAGCATATTATCTCCTATACAGAATGTTCTTGATCAAGCTCTCGTCTCTGCAAAATGTCCTTGAGCATGTTCTCTCCTATATTCTCTTGAGCATGTTTATACAGAATGTTCTCGGAATGTTTGCGAGCATATATAAAGCTCCTATAAAGAATGTTCTTGAGCATGCTTTTGCTTTCTATATGCAAAATGTTCTTAAGAATGTTCGTTCCTCTACAGGAGTTTCTTGAGCATTTTTTCCTATGCAAAATGTTCTTGAGCATGTTCTCTTCTATATAGAATGTACTTATGCAAGTTCTTTCTTATACAGAATGTTCTTGAGCATGCTCACTTCTATGCAAAATGTTCTTGAGCATGTTCTATCCTATTCAAATGTTTTTAGCATGTTCTCTCGGATACAGAATGTTCTTGAGCATGCTCTCTCCTATGCAAACTACTCTAGAGCATATTTTTCCTATGCATAATGTTCTTGAGCATGTTCTATGCTGTTCAAAATGTTCTTGAGCATGTTCTCTCCTATACATGAACAACATAAACATGCTCTCCCAGGTAAACATATTCTCTCTTATGCAGGATACATGTTCTTTTCTAATCATAATGATCTTGAACATGTTCTCTCCTATGCAAAATGTTCTCGAGCATATTCTCTTATGAAGGATGCTCTTGAAAATGTTCTTTCCAATACAGAATGCTCTTGGCCATGTTCATTCCTATGCAGAATTTTCTTGCACATCTTCTATATTCAAAATTTTTTTGGTTACTGAAACATAGGCCTATATGTCCGGACAGAGCCTTTATCTTACGTGAATGTATTTTTATTCATTTATATGAATGTATTTTAAAGGTCAACCGTCCATGTGAAAATCAATGTTTAAAATAATTAAGTAGTATTAAATAGTCACACCACCAACAACCGACGAGATTACTGATCTCATTAAACACACAACAAACAAGCCTATTCAGACAAAATCGTAACACTTCGATCGCTTTGTTCTACAAACAGTTAAAAAAGGAGGAGCGATCATGTCAGTTTGTTTGGAGAACCGTTATTCTCAGTTTGATACAGAGTCCTAGTGACAGCAGCAGCGCATCGCGCGCGGAGTGCCAATGTGGGTGTTTCATGACGCGCGCGTCATTTACAGGTGTCCATTAAATACCGCGCGCATCACGACCTCGAGGAATGACGCGGAACTCGAAACGCTTTCTGTTTATCCAGGTAAACATTAGTGAAGACACGAAAGAACACACTCCTCTACCAACAAGTCTGCTGTTAACATTCTGTGCCACTGACAACTGCCGCAACTTTATTTGGATTGAGTCACGTCCAGTCCATTGAAACGGTGTCACGCGTCTGAAAATGAACTCATCATGACTGGAAGACGCTTATCATGTAAGTACGATCTTAGAGGCATATGTGTTTGTTTAAAATTACGAACATGTAATCTATAGGTGGTTAAAGGTATTACGAAAAACCGAATGTAGTATACGCCTAATAAAAGCTCAATGGTGATGCAGACGTTTATAAGTTAACATTTTCATGTCCTTGATTTATTTTTATTTTTATTTCCCCCCCTACTGTTCGTAATATAATGTTCATCTGTCATTTCCAATTGCGCACATTTTTCCACAAATATCACCCACCTGAGAGACTGCACATCATTCCATGTATATTAAACGACGGCCATCATTGGATTATTTATTTATGGATTTGTTCATTTATTGTAAGGACTGGAGATATAAGCTTACCAAACATTAAATATGCGGTTTCATGCTGTAATTAAATAAATTTACACCTCTTATTCTTGTGTGAAATGTATTTGGTTATATCATAAAACATTATATAATTTTAATCAAATAGTTAAGGTTCTAGTATGTATTTATTTATTTATTTATGTAGCCTATTTTTAAAGACGCATACAATTCATTGTTTATATCAGTGAAATTGTGATAATGGGGGACATTATTGAGGTTAGGCAAAGTCACATTTCTTCTTCAGTTAAGTAAGAGGCGATGACAGCCTCCTGCTCATTCATGTAAAAAAAGCCAGTGTTTAATAAGAGTTCTCTGACCATTCCTCTAAACTGAATGCCTACCAAGGTAGGTAGTTATGCTAAACATAACGGACACTAAATCAGGAATCAGGGCTTCCATAGGTAAAATTTTAGGAATCAACCATTATTTATCAATCAATACTTGTCTCCAGTGTAATGCAGCTCTGGTAGTTCTTTCAGGTAATCTATAGGTTATGTCCTCCAAAGATGACATAACTGAATCAATTTTAAGGTAGTATGTCGATGCAGTCAGAAATGGATGACCACATGCTGTAGAAACACCAAAAAGAAAATGCCAATGAAGCAGGACAAAGATTGAATCTATTTCCTCAAGGTCACCAAGATCTTATTTGGATAGAGATGTAAATGTGTGTGGGGAAAAAGCTTTAATAGAGCATTTGACAAGATCAGAGCTGGTTATATAAGTTGTCTTAATCTTATTGATAAAATGGCATATGAGTTTTTCGGCAGTCGAGAGCTATCATTAACAGATGAAGAGGTGCAACGTTGAAAGCCATCATTAATGTTCAAGCGTCTCAAAATACATTAGTAAATGAAAATTCATGCTGTTAACACTGTTTCCTCACAATCTTTCTGGAAAACTTTGTTTACTCCAACTCTCTCAATGTACGAAATTGATACTTACCCCCTAAAGTCATTGTGCGAGGCTTGCTTGAACAGCTGAGGTTAATTATGAAATGGGTTATTGTGTGTGAAATATTAAAGGTCTGTGTTTTGAAAATATGACAAGTTCATAACTTATGATGGCTGCCCCCTTCTATGTTCTTTCCCTTTGTTGAGCAGCGTGACTGCCGATGTCCTCTGGAGATCTGAAGAGCCCTGATCTGCTCAGCGGAGGATCACAACACAGGAGGAGACCCAGGCACTGTGAGACTTTAGCATTCCCTCATTGCACCAGCTGTCAGCAAAAGAGCATCTGCAGATATTCATTTCTTCTTGTAAAAGAGGCCCTGGCAGACCGTCGGAAAGTGGCTCTTCAGTTTCCCTTTTGCAATATATCGGAAATCTTGCATTTTCATGAAACACAATTCAAACTGACTTCTGGTTAACTTTGAGAAAATGAGCTCAGCAAACACTTGGATAGACTCTTAATGGTTTTAAACTCCAGGATTTGTAGAAATATGGTAGCTATGAGACTTGGTGAGTGAACTCCACAACATAATCAGACTTTAAATCCTCCCACTGGATCCTGGAGGGCCAAACCTCATCAAGGTGATAATCATGGTGATGTCGCAGGGCACCTATACGTTTCTGGCGTGCTTTGCCGGCTTCTGGCTGATCTGGGCTCTCATTGTCATGCTTTGCTGCTTTTGCAGCTTCGCCCAGCGCAAGCTGAAGCGCCGACGTGAAGAGAGGCTGAGGGAACAGTGCCTGCGGGCGCTGGAGATGGAGCCTCTGGAGTGCACTGGAGGGGGATATCCTCCCAGGGAGCCCCCTCAGTTCTGCCCACCCATTCAAATGATGTCTCCACAGCTGCCTGTAACACACACTCTCCCTCAGGCAAACTGGACTGTCCCTGAAGGTAGGATGTTTAAACAAGCTCAATCATCCAATGCATTTTTGTCTGCAGTCAGAGATATGGGGACTATTAAAATTAAGAATTATATTCGTCCAACCATATTTTCAGAAGATGTGGTTCAGAAGAACATTTTCAATGAGCCATGCCCTAAAGATTCCATGAAATCAACATTTGAGGTTTGTGAATTATTAGGTCTGTTGATAAAATGAACCTGTAGCAGGATATAGGTAAATAAAACTCAAAATAGGACTAGACCTTTGATATGACAAATGTTTCGACGTGTCCTTCTCCAACTTCTGGTTACTGGTTAGTTGTGAATACTCTTTCACTGTAATGTGTCCTTGGCTAATTTTCATTTTGTTCTTACATCTTTTTCTTCTAATATGTAATGTCTCATAGTTATGAAGCTGTGAGAATACATCTGTAATCATGTTGACTTGTAAAGATTTTGAGGTTACAGGTTTAAAAAAATATATATACATTTCACCTTTTTGACTCTTACACCTACTAGACATTTTAAGCTACATCCACTAAACTCGGCACAGTCCCTTAGCCTGTTTTAACTTTAGTGCTCCATGTGTCTTAATAATCAGACATAACCTGATTAAAATTCCTATAGATGGCTTTAACGATAATGCTATACACACAGAAAAATAAGGGGCCAGAATTGTACCTTTTGGGGTACAACAGCTTGTCCCTGGAGCAGTACCCTTAAAATGACATACTTGTACCTTTTTTTTTTACCCTTTTATATAGCAGTCAGCAAAATCCAATAACCAAACACAGGATGCTACACCTTTATTACCCTTTATTAATACATTAAGCATGTTGTGTTTAAAGCAACAGTGATCGTCCATCTTGAGCTGTACCACTCAAAACACCTCACACAGCGAGGGCAGGCTGAGCTGCATTCTTTCATGTATGACATGGTAACAGTGAGTCTTGTGGGGTGTTGTGTAGGCAGACGAGTGCAGCATTGAGCTAGCAGCATTAGAGCCGGGCTAATCATGTGCTTTGGCAGACAGGCAGACTGCCAGTGTTGGTGGATCCCTGGCCATGGGTGAAGAATGTCCCTTTAAACCTGTGCCAAACACACAGGATGGATGACCACACATTAAAACAAGGTCGGAGTAATAAGTCAGCTCACAAAAGAGTAAGAGTTAGAAAGAATTGTGCTCTTTAAAGAGACTTTGTATCACTTTACAACAACAGGCTCGTTATGTCCCCTGTGACGCCTTGGGCACCATATGAGAAAATTGTATTTGATATAATCTAAAGTTTGAAAGAATCTGCAGTGATTTTTAATATACTCTTTTAATATTAGGTATAATATTATACCTTCAAACCACCATCTATGATAAGTAAATTTTCCCCAAAGAATGTATTTAATATTGTATATGAATAAATTCCAAATCACCATCAAGAGTGTCGATAGAAAGGACCTCTCTGCTATAACATTGTCCTTGAGAAGTAAAGATAAATGCAGTTTTTGTTAATGTTATAAGCAGGTCTGAACATTATAGAGTGTCTGGAACTGACCTATTGTTTAGTTAGTAGTGCTGGCTAAGACAAACATTTGTAACTAACTCGGCTCTGTTTGTGCTTTGAACATGAATGTTATTTCAAATTGCATCGCTTAGACTTTTCGTCCTGGCCTGGCCGTATCTACCCCCGACCGTACATGGGACAAACAGGTTGAAGGATGTATGGATGGCCATATCTAGGAATCAGAATATGATTGAGATTAAAAAGGCTAGAATGCACTACACAACTTTTAAAATCTGAACATCATCTAAAACACTAGGTATGAAACCCTTGCTGACTTTGTAAAAGGCTAAAAAAAACAAAAAAACAACAACAACTGGGCATCATACACTAAAGAACTGAGGATCACACATACTTTCAAGTCGTTCTGAGCACAACAAACTCGCATACTGTAGAAATGTGCCTTGTTGCTAGGAGACACATGACAAATGAAAACGATGTGTGTTCTAAAATCGGCTCAAAATATCAAACGTTTGATATCCTCTGACTTCAAGGAATCATGGTCTGAAGCTAAAAAAGGCTGTGCCCATAATACAATTTTCTGTAAAATCTGTCAAAATTTGACTAAATTGACCAAAATCTGCAGACTGACTTTGACGTTTGGCAGCTAGCATTGATGCATCCAAACTCTAAATCTGGGCAAAAATGTATTCCACCCTTTAGGCTCTTTTGATAACCCCAGCAAACTTTAGCAACATCCTTGAAACCACCTAAAATTCCCTACTAACAGCATAGCAATGTGCTACCTATCCAGAACACCCTACCAATCCTCTTGCAACCACCCAAAATGCTTTAGTCACCTGCTAACAACCACTCAGAACCTTTTTGCACATTTTGGCATAGAGTTTTGCGTTGGCATTGTCCTCAGAAAATGTCAAAATGTGTTTTTCCGCAAGTTGGGTTTGCAGTGCAGTTTAAGAAGCACCACCTCCATTTGCTGCAGTCCTATATCAGAACACATGATAATTAAGAAGAGCCTATAAGCTAAGTGCTTCCACATGGCACTGCTAGCCTCTAGGACTTTTTCGGTTGGCTTTCATCTTACATTCTGGCAAAAGCACAGCTGATAGGGGGGAAAACACTGCCTAGTCATAGCCAAACACATTCTTATCTCTGACCTCAATATGCTGGTTTATCACTTCCCTCCACAGGAGAAAATCTATCCTAGTTTTCATCTAGGAGTGAGAGGTGACCTTGGAGGAAATAATAAAAGCTTCAGTTCCTCTACCCTCTCCTGATAAAATATACGGAGTCCTCATTTATGTGGTCTAATGTCCTCTGATAACTTCATGCAGAGGTTTTTTTGATCTGATAAGTTGTGTGATTGCATATATTTAATGATGTCTGGGCTGACTTGGAAAAGAAAGGGCCACATTATCTTGGGGTCACGAGGCAACAGTTCTTATAAGCGTAAATGTGAAGGACTATACCACTAAAAACTTGTACATTTGATGCAGCTTGCAGTGTACTTCCCGTTCTTTAGTGAACGGTTTGTTTTTCTCAGCAGAAACAGATGTCTTTGGAAAACCTCCCTGCTACGAAGAGGCCGTATTGATGGAGGATCCACCGCCCCCTTACAGTGAGGTTCTGGCGGACCCCAGGGGAGGAACTTACACCAAACCTTCATCCAGGTCCTCCAGGGAGCACCAGGAGTCCGAGACCAGCAAGATGGCCCCCGTGACCGTGTTTCCAGAACGTGGCTACTCCTCCCTAATACGCCTACCTTCGGCCAGACGCTGGGACTCACTGGGGCACCTCCTGTCCACCATGGACCTTAACCACAACAACCTGCCTGTCGAGCCTCAGGCCTCTGCCATCGCCACAATGCCTCGTGAGGGCCGGACTCACACAGACTTGGGCTTGCGGGGACTCCGTGGTCTGGATCAACACTATGGTTTGCCCACAGCCTTTCCCCTTTTGGGTCGAAGCACAGCGGTATGAGGCCACAAAAATAGACCTCCGGACCACTTTCTGAGATGAACACTCACAATGCTGAGTCATATGTGGTCTGAAGAGTCTGCCAGAGGCATTTCGAACTCTGTCTTTTGGGGGCCGCATCAGTTCAGGATGATTCAGCTTTGTTCAGGGGTTCATTTGCAGATCCATCATACTCACTTCTCTCTCGTCCTCCTCCTTGCTCTCCGTGGCATCTCCACCTGATGCAGAGCAGCAGCTATTATGTGAATGCTGTTGCCATGGCTCCCGGGAGCTGTCTGCAGCCCACCAACACCTCGCCCCTCACATCATCTCTTCTTCCTTTCTCATCTGCGGCTCACTGATATAATACAAATGACATTTCAAACCCTGTCTTTGTGACATGGGGTAAAATACAGTAAAGTGCGACATGGTGAAATGACAGTGGTAGGTCCGTACTGTAGCTACACAATGCTGCTCAGCTGTACAAAAATGTTTCATAAACTGGGAAACAATACCTGGCATCTCTTTCTGGATTTTCTGCCAGTTCTTTTCTCGAGAAGGAGCCTGAACTTTGGGGGTGGATGGAAAAGCTTCAAAGTAATCACAAAGAAGTTGGCTGAAGAATTGCGATTTTTGAAACATGTCTGTAGTGTCCATTGGAAAAAAGTTGTCTCTCACAGCTTAAAGGGGTCATGAGCAGCCTTTTTTTATTATTTTGCACTGTTCTCTGAGGTCCCTTACCAAGATTTTTACATCAAAAAACATAATTTAGGTAATAGGCTATTTTCTGTCTTGTTTTTAACCCCCCTCATGTGAACGCCATGTCGGCGGCAGCGGCGGTGAGGGTTGTGGTGGTGTCAGTGAAGTGTCCGTGTTTCACTTCGTCTCGAATCGCGCTCGTGGAAAGCACTTAAGAAACAGTGTCTCTTCCGCGGCTCGGTGCGCTTTCAACTCATTTTTTTTAGTCTCGAGCAAGACTGTACGACATTTACATTACATGATTTGACTGATTTTTACGTAGAAAGGGCGACAGCACACTGCATTAAAAGAAATGATCATTCATATTTACATAGCTGCAGGCCAAATTCAAAAACAAAACTAAAATTAAATCATCTTTGAGAGCAAAGGGGCCCCTTGCGTATTTTGCATATAGGGAGGATCGGCTCTGCGAGTACTGCTCTTTGTATTCTGATCTGAATTGTCACGATGTCCTGAGCTCATGTTGCCTCACTGAAGATAGATTACTTCTGACTGCTTTCTACATGATTTGACTGATTTTTACGTAGAAAGGGTGACAGCACACTGCATTGAAAGAAATGATCATTCATGTTTCACATAGCTGCAGGCCAAATTCAAAAACAAATTAAAATTAAATCATCTTTGAGAGCAAGGGGGCCCCCTGGTGTTTCGGGGGCCCTACGCAGCTTGCGTATTGCGTATAGGGAGGACCGGCTCTGGTAAATGGCCATTGCTATGATTGGCTAACAGTTGTGTATGTTTGACAGTACATCCTTCGAACGCTGCTGTGATTTAGGTTAAAAACGCATAAATACTCCGTACATATCAAACAACCTCAGACAAAGCAATAGTGACCACTTAATGAAAACAGTTACTCACACTTGTGTGATGCGACATTACTGTTAAATCCAATAAAGTTGGCACATCATTGTCTTTTAGTTTCAATCTTTCTGAAAATCCCACATCGAATTGTGCTTTGTTTGTAAATGAATCCACGGAAAAATGAAGTGAGCAAAGGACCAAGTTCTTGCTGACGCGGTCTGGAACTTCATTAAAACTAAAGTTCATTCACTGTTTCCTAATGTTAGGATCAGAAGCAAGGCGATGCAAAGACTGTGTTTTTCCACAACTTGGCACTGCACTGCGTCTTGTTTTCTTCGGAGCATCTTTATCGTTTGATTTCTGCGTAGACCTGCGTTTGCCGCTCTCATTTACAGTACATGCCCGAATCGGTGGGCGGGGCTAAAGAGGCAGCGGTGTAGAAGCAGGCGTTGATCTTTCTCTGCGGAGGTGGTGTTTAGCCACACTATTACATCATAGAGTGGCACATTCCACAACCTGTCGTTTTGGCAGATTGGCTTCAATATAAGCTGTTTTTAGAGTAATGAGAAAGTTTTGAGTTCTGAAACTTACAGGATGTTTTTATTGTACAGTGTCCTCTTACATGTCAAAAGATCAAGGGAATTTTGATTTCTTAGTTCATGACCCCTTTAATGCATTAGACCATGCGGGTACACTGAGGAACTGCCTTTTATTTCATGCCAGTAGTACTATACATTCCACAACCTGTCGTTTTGGCAGATTGGCTTCAATATAAGCTGTTTTTAGAGTAATGAGAAAGTTTTGAGTTCTGAAACTTACAGGATGTTTTTATTGTACAGTGTCCTCTTACATGTCAAAAGATCAAGGGAATTTTGATTTCTTAGTTCATGACCCCTTTAATGCATTAGACCATGCGGGTACACTGAGGAACTGCCTTTTATTTCATGCCAGTAGTACTATTCTCTTTTTTGCTGATTCTGAATCTCTGTATGAAGAATGTTTTTTTTTTTTGAATATGAAATCCATCCTCTTAAAGTGCTCGTCAGATTGAAGATAGGACCTGAGATTGTAATGACCTGCGAATAGGATTTGTCAACATTTTCACGCATCACCATGTTGCCCATGTTATTCCCTGCTGTTGTTGCAGCCACATGTGGGATTTCTGGCATTTATTCAACAAACTCCATTTATATACTGGTGCTTCTCAGAGTTAGACCGACTGAATCCCTTTTGCTAGGCTGTTTTTCGTCATCAATGTAGTAATTACTACATTGTGAAAATGCTTGATTTCATTTTTTTCCTTTTATTGCCATCATTTCTATTATGTGTGTTTCCATGTCCTTAAACGATTCTACCTCAATCCATCTAATGGCTGTCTTTGTCAGCTTCCCGGCATAAAACTCTGCTTTCATGCATGCGCTGGATGCTTTCAAATGACATTTGATTAAAATAAGCTCCCTTTTTGGAAATGTGAAAAAAAGAAATTAGCGGCGTATGTGGGCACACATTCAGCACAATGCTTTTACTACATCATAGTGATGTCTTTGGTTCATTATTTTTAATTGCGCAGCCATTACTAGACCACCCGAAAATAACAAAAGCATAAAGGAATCATACGTCCCACAACCCACGCTATAAAGACTTGGTGTACGAGGCATTGTTCCCTGCTTCGTTTATAACCTGTCCTCACTAAATGACATAATGCAATTAAATGAAGAATACATTGATTACTTTTCAAATTTCATACCTACGAGGATGAATGTTGGAAATTGAAACAAGTGGAAAAATTAATTCTTCTGAAAAAGTTGACAATGAAAGTTTACCTTGAGTACAATTTCAAGGCCAAAGTACACCATATTTTGATTTCTATTTGAAATAAAAAATAATGCCCTGTAATGTCTTGTTTAAAAAAATGGATCAGTTCAGGTGAAATATTCATATTTTTGCACAGACCAAAATACAATATTGTAGAGAGACAATCAATTAAATTTACAGCACTTTACTGTCATTTCAAAAACATGCTGCTAGGTTACACTACAGCATTCAAAAATGGCTACAGCCCCAAAATACTTAAATTAATCTAAAGGAAAGGTTTGATGATTATTTTGGGAGAATATTGCGGTTTAAAATGACTGTATCTGCTTTTACTCTCTATATTCAGTTATATCACAACAGAAGCTAAAGACAGAGATGTAAACTGTCTTCTCTCTGCCGGCAATGTGTTGCTAAGCGACCGTAGAAGACCCTGTGAATCTGTTTGCATAGATGAAGTGAGCAGTACCGTCACTGCTCTGGTACACAGCCTTCTCACATCCACTATGATAAGTGGATTGTGGTTTGCAAATTAGCATATATGAGAGGTATTATGTACCCCGTTTGTGCCATTTTCAATGAAAGCCATCATAAAGAGGCTCTGATCTATCAATCAAAAGGGGTTTTTGTGTGTGAATCTCTTTTGATCTGGTAAGAGTCTCAATTTAGACTCAGTTTTGTCCCCATTTGACAACAAATTTACACTCCAAATTCTCCATAGCACACGTTCTGTCTCCGTCACATGAACTGTGAATGGCAAACTGTGAAAGTGTTTCATGCAATGTTCATGTAGCATGCAAAGTGTGCTTGTGTGTACGGCCACGCTATAGTCGGAGCTGTACTATTTCATAGCTGCTATGTACAGTATTTCCATGCTCATATGAGTAATTTTGGTTTGTTTTCTAAAAATATACACAATACACAAACAGGGCCAGTAAATGCCTGATATCTGATTAATAAAACTGAGGTACAAAGTCTGAATTTATTACAGCGTTTCAACATTTCCGTCTCTGTTTTGTTGCAGATAAAAAAAACGTACACAAGTCCACCATTTTCGGAAGGATTTTAAAGTCTTTTATTAACATACATAAGCACATAGCATGTCACAAAAGATCTTGTGCTTGTTTCAAAAACAGCGTGTGAGAAGCGGACGGAAAAAGGAAGAGATAGAAAAAAATAATTAAAAAATAATTTTCAGGAGTCGCTAAGCCTTGCTTCAGGGGCAAAGAAGAAATTACTGTAGTAGAACAGTAGTAGTAATAGTAATAATAGTAGTGGTAGTAGTAGTAGTCTCCTAGTAGTTTGAGGGAGAAAGAGAGTAATAATCACTACTAAGGAGGTAGGAGGGTGAACAGGAATACATGGAAGTTATTTCAAAAGGGGCTAAGTTACTGTTAAAGATGCGGGTTACTTCCTATTTGGTTTCATATTGAGCGACCTCTTTCTCTCTCACCAAAGAAACATTAGAAACCCAATCCAAACATATGCCAACCCCCGTTTTTCATGGGTGGTGAATCAATACATGTTAGTGATTGTAGTACATTTTACATGAGCACAAAATTAGAGCTATTTACAGAACAATACTATTGGTTTAGTCTTATTGCTTGCTTTTCCACTCCAAAAATCCTTTGTAAAACCAAGATGTTATGATGCCGCTTTACAACTTGACTAAAAGTATGAGGAAGACAGTGGTCAGTCAAGGCCAGGACCTTAGCAGGTAAGGATGTGGGCTGGTACAACAAAGATTACAGGTTGAGTCAGTGTTGAATAAGTGAGATAATCTCTCACCGTTCTGCCCTTGAGCAAGGCATGTCCCTGCATTTGTCTTTGTGTAAAAGTCAGTTACAAATCCAAATTTTGTTTAAAGGGTTGTAGTAATTTTCGGTTCATACAAATGTCTTTACAAATTGCTGGACTTGCTAAGGTCACATTACTCTGAAGAAAGTCCTGGGTTAACTAGCAACAACCTAAAAATAAGCTTATAAGCATATTAATATTATATTTCAATAATGTTACCGTGGCTTGAAATCCGAGATTATAAGGAGTTTCCTTCCCTTGGAGCATAAAACGAATTTAAAAGGTTCAAAATCACGTATACAAAAAAAGAAGAAGGTCGAAACCATACTCTACGCAAGTAAATGAATGCAAATACTTTGATTTCACTCGCCGCAGCTTGCTAAAACCTGTTAGAAGGATGCAATGAACGCTAAGCACAGCATTCTCAGCACT